GGGCAGTGGTACAGGATATCATTTTAAATAGAGGATCACAGCAATGCTTTCATTTCTATACCCACTTCCTAGTATTTTACAGTTAGTGATCCTCAAATAAATAGGAAGGCATTAAAGATTCTTTACCAAATCACAGCGCTTTGTCCAGAAACTATTTCAAATGTGCATATTTATGCATACATTAACTCTTAGTACAGCTAGCATATGGTTCAGACACAAATTCTTCTTAATAATTTACATGTTGACTACACAAATTTCAAGCTCATTTTAATTTTACATTCAGCAAGAGTACAATTCACTGTTGGGGCACATCCTGAAAGCCTACTCACTGGAAAATGAGACATGAAAACTGTACCTATCAAACTTCTATTGCTACAAAGAGTGTTACAGGCCAAAATAAAAAACAATACCTTGGAGAAATCTAGACTTGCATACAAAATTCAAGGCAGTATTCTCTCAGCCTGGCCCAGCTTTAGCAAAAGCAGATCTTTACTTAATTATAAGTAGAAATGAGTACTCTTTTCTGCAGAATGACGTTTTCAACTACTTTTATATTTAAAGTAAAAGCCCTCTATGTTAGTGTCAAAGTCAGACTTTAAAAGGTATATTACAAAAGAAACGGTTGCTCTGGAAAATCCTTCAACATCCCTCTCCTAATATCTACTCAGGTTAGTAAGAAGAAATCAGAGCAGAAAGAAACCCAGTGAAAAATGGTTGCACATAAATGTGTGAAGATTCTAGCTCAGACCCCCTTGTGGGACAGCCACAGGCCTAGTCAGGAAAATTCCAAGAGCAAGTCCCCCACATCCTACAAAAGAGGCTTAAAATCGGGCAAGGTCTTTTCTCTCTTTAACACCGAAAGGTAAACACCCATCAAAATCTTCCAGAGCCGGAGCAACCCGGAGTTTCCATGCCAAGAGGGAAAGAGCCACATGACCGCGGAAACTACAGCCCATTAGCCTCTCCCTCTCCTTCCAGCCCCTCGCTGAGGCCCCGGCGCCGGGGTCCCTCCGCAGTTCCACTCCTTCATCCCCAGTGACAGGTCGC